CCTGTTGACGGGCAGACCAACAGGGTTCTCGATGCCTAGATAATTCATGCAGTAGGAGATGCAATCTTCGGTCAGAAAGCCCTTGGCTATGCTTCCCTCTGGGCGTGACATGTTGCGAACGTATCCTTTGATGACACCATTCATCCTTTCGAACGGCATCATGCTGTGCAGGAACATCGGCCCGAGTTGGATGATATCCTCCACGATATGGACCAGCAGATGCACCATAACGTCGAAGAATGCATGCGGGAAGTACATCTCAAGTTCGCATAGTATCACCACGATCTCTTCCTGTAGCCTTCTGAGTTGCCTCGCGCCAACCGACTTCCGAGAGATGACGTCGAAAAAGTTGCATAGGCCAAATAGCATTTCACGGACGTGCGCGTCCATGATCCAATGGATTGCAACTGGAAGTATCTGCGTCATCAGCATGTGACAGTCGTGAGACTTCATCCCGCTGAACTTCTGCTTCGCTCGGTCTAGGTATCTGCTTATCTTCCCCGCGTAACCGTAAGGAAGTTTTACTCCTACGAGGCAGGTGAAAAACTGATCGACCTCCTCCTGACTTAGAGTGAAGCACGCGGGAGGGTAGTCATTTCCGGTCTTCTTGGCCTTTTTGCCTTTGCGACGACTTTCCGTGTCCTTCTTTGCCTCATCATCATCATCATTAGCATGAAGCTCCTCCCTGGTGCCCATTGATTTCAAGTCTACCCTTGCTTTCGGCCCATCTTTGGTCCTCTCTGGCATGTTGAGCAGGGTACCAACAGACTCTCGCACACATTTTTCGTGATATGCATGACATCAAGGTTGTGAGGCACACGGTGGATCTTCCAGTACGGCAAGTCCCAGAAAATAGAACTCGTTTTCCATACCTTCAGCAGCGGCTCTGGCGACTTTCGCTTCTTTCCCGGCTCTGGCGCCTTTTGCTTCTTTCCCGGCAGTGGGCAATCTTTCCAATTTTTCAACAACTCATCTATTTCCTCGCCGCGCCTCGTATGCGGGCGTCTTCGGGGTTCGGTTTCACCATCGAACAGATCCTTGCGTTTCCTTCACGGGTCATCGTCGCGAAGCCACCTTCGATGTCCCATGAACACGGCTTTCAAAGACCCAGGATCTCTATCTAGCTGGCGATATGTTGTGTCATCCCTGCACCTAACGCATCCAGAAAATCCGTGGACCACCTGCCCCGCGACATATTCGTAACCGAGATAGTCGTGCACCGTCGTGAGCAGTGCGGCTCTCATAGGGAAATATTCTTTCTGTGCAGCGTCCCACGTATTGGCTGGCGTTTTCCACAGCGTGTCTAGCTCCTCTTTCAGCAACCCCAGATACAGATTGATGTCGTTCCCTGGTTGTTTCGTCCCTTCAATTAGCATACTTATGTGAATGTACTTCCTCTTCATGCACAACCAGGGGGAAGGTTGTACATCCACACAAACACAGGCCAGGTGCTATGTGTGCTTCTCTAGCTGCCAAACGGATTAACTCCATCGGTGCTCGCGCCTAGCACGATGTTCCTTGGATCCTTCCCAAATTCTGGGTGTTCGAAGTTCAATGCTTGCCACTGGCTCCCATCCCTAGGGTGACTCAGTATCTTGTATTTTTTATTTATCTCCGGATCATTTGCGTCATCTTCTGGCTTCTTCTCCTCTCTATCTGCGTGCCAACGCAGGAGCTTTGCTACCTTAGGGTCCGCGAAATACCGCTGCAGACGAGGAGTGGTCCACTACAAGAAATATGTTAATCCGTGACGGATTTCTCATGACGTTCTCCTGAACCGTCACGGCAACCGTCATGGATCCGCAAGATGTGAATGGGCCTCAGTACAGTAACCCCATTGTGATGGACGTTGCAGGACCATCACGAAAACCGTCATGAATTAACCAGATGGGCCTAGTCGAGCCTAACTTTTTTTCTTTATACACCATTCGGACCGTCATGGGTGACTCCTGATGTGTGTGCTTTTTTGATTGGCCTACATGTCAGTCGAATGCAATAGTGAATGGGAGAAAACCAGAGAGTAAAATGAACAGAGCACGTGCGAGAAGGCCAATTTTAAGTCCCCGGTGCAGGGAGTGAAAATTTTCGAGCCAGCCCATTTAACTACAGAGTCCACACCATCCTAACCCTAATCACCGTGCTCCACTCCATCTTCAGCTGCCGCCGCCACTCCACCTTCAGCCGCTGTCGCCGCCACTCGACCTTCCCCACTCGCGTCATGGCTTCCTCCTTCAGCGGCGATGAGACCGCCCCCTTCTTCAGTTTCCTTGGTGCCACTGCGGCCCTCGTCTTCTCCTATAAGTCCCCCAGATCTCACCTCCCCCTCCTCCAGATCGGCGATCTAACTGTGGTTGTGATGCAGGCATGGGGGCGGCGTACGAGAAGGCCAAGAGCGGGGTGGGGGTGGCGCGATGGGGGTTATGCGGCCAGAGCAAGTGATGAAGTCCATCGCACCCGTCGCCATGGCTGTGGTGCTCGGGATCAACAGCCTCATCATATCCACCGGCATCAACCCCAAGGGCAAGCCCTACTTCCTCTTCGACGGCTACATGCACCTCTCCTCCAGCCTTGCCTGCGGCCTCGCGGGACTCGCCGCCGGCAAGAACATGAATAACAACCTTGATAGTTTATATGTTATATTGATGTAAAATGGATTGTACTAGTTCCTAACGTTGTTGTGTGATATATTGTCAATCTATGATGTAATTATCATTTCATAGAGGATTTTAAAAATTGCTATGTTGCATTTACATACAGATGGCTGCAAACTAGATCAACTATGTAATGTTGTGACACTTTGCAAATGCTTCCTCTTGGGCCAAAATCGGCATTTGGATTTGTGAGACATTATGCTAAAAACATGCTTGGTCAAAATATGGCAGAAATAAATGGGCTAATGAGGCACAAATGAATGGGCTAATGGGCTGGGCTAAATTTAAATTGTGCCCAAATCAATGACAATTTCTGTGACGAAAAATAGTATCCACGTAAGCAGACATTTCATATGAATTGATCAATCGAAAATCCTACGTGGCATCTTATGCATGACGGATTCTTACTATCACAGAGGTCTGGACTTCAGGGGGAGTGCACTCCTGAATGATAACCTGTTCGAGATCCTGGGATCCTTGATATTGCACTCTTTTTCCTTTATGAGTTTTTTCCTACATGGTTTCTCATAGAAGTTTTTAATGAGGCAATAGTAATACAAGCATGGTGATATGGCATTTTCTCCTTATTTCCCGCTGGGTTTTTGGAAGGAGTTTTTCATGTCATATTACGTATATCTCCTCATATTTCTCCCATGGGGTTTTTGGAGGAGACATTAAACAAGATGATAATCACAAGAAGAAACAGTTATTAGGGGGAATGTTAAGAATTATTTAACATCTATTAATTAGGGACAATCCCTGCTTTCCATCTAACCACCTGCCATTGCTATTTGAGCAACAGACGCGACTATTCGCCCGTGTCCTTTCGGTAAAAGGCACCTCTTGTAATACACCCATTGGGAGGGTATAAAAACCCAGATCAATGAATAAGAAAATACAGATCAATGAATAAGAAAATACAGTTGATTCATTCTAGCAATTGTTTCTTCAACAGTTGTCAATGAAGATGGAGGGTTTGTGTTTTACGGCTGGAAATGGACAGACATCTCGTCTTTCATCGATTTTGTACACTGGTAACCGAACACATGAGAAACGGAGAGACGGCTCATCTTCAATCGGTTCCATATTAAGATTTGATGATATGGCTGGGTTGTTCACATGGATAGCCTGCAAGTTGAGAGAATTTTTTTTGATAAAGGACATTTCATTAAGCTGTTTTATCAAAATGATACAGCCGTATCAAAAGAATGCCTTGCCTCTGCATGACATGATGTACACAGCCAACAAGTTCAAACAACCGAAAAATAAACATTGTTTTACAGCAAAAATAAATCAGTCCGGTCTAGGGTAGGGCCGCCATCCATGGAGGGAGAGAACCTCACTGGTCGTACACTCCAGCCATGCAGACGTTATCAAAAAAAGGTTTCTGTCCTCCGACTTCTGCAGGATGGACCAAGTACGGAGCCGTCATGTACATGCATGAATAAACTGCGCAGGGGAAGAAATATATTTTATTATTAAAGACCACATCATTTCCATGAAGCCATCATGCCCAGCATAAGGCAGCCATCCCCACAAGAATATGTGCAGAAAGTTGTTTATTGACACCTCGCAACCAATTCCCGAACATACATGTTACGTGCACTATATGGGCGAATGGATCTCCTAGGTGTATATAGGATCAAGGTTTTGGTTGCCGAATGAGGCAATTTTACCGAGGGGGACTGGTAAATGTGGTTGCCAAGGTTACCGAGAAATACCGAGAATATTACGAGTGAATTTTGTAGTTAAATTTTTAATTCAAATAAGTGAATCAACGAATATTCGAACCAGAGACCTCTCAAAACACGAACTAGGTTGCTACCAACACGCCAGAACCAACTCTCATGACGTTAATTAGATCCTACATACTTTACAGTAAATCGAGTGTTTAAATTTAAAAAATTCAAAAAAATGGTATTTTTTGCTCGGTATGGCGATTTACCGAGGGGCACGGAAATACGAGGTAACCATGGGAAATGTTGAAATTTCGGCCGGTAACCAAAACAGTGTATAAGGTAGGATCGAGAATTAGCATGTGTGTTGTGCACGTTCTTTTTACCTTGTTCCTCTGGGCAGTTAGGACGTCCATAGCTCTCAATCTAGTTTAGGACATTCATTGTAATGTGGTTGGTCCAGAGAGATGACGTAGAGTATGTTGTTTATTGCACGTGTGTGTAGTATTATCGGTCCAGAAAATAGCAGTGGCGTATTATCGGTCCAGAAAATAGCAGTGGCCACCAATCCATGCTGAAATTAGCATCTCTCTCGGTACATAAACACGTACGCGCCAGCCTGCAAAAAAATCTAAAAAAGGTGCGAATCCCAACCACTTCACGTTAACCGACCATGCGCGCCGATCAGATAGTACCGGCGGTCGTCGCCGCCGTGGCCGTGGTGTGCCTGCTCATCGCCGGCCGCGTGGACGGCCAGGACGAGTACGTCCCTGCTGGCGCGGGGAGCCAGGAGGTGGAGACGCTGACCACGAACCAGAACCCCAAACAGATCCTCCCGCAGCCGGAGTTGATGCCAGTGCCCAACAATCTGCTCCCTAGGCCGGGGGCCGCCCTATCCGGGCAGCAGCCGACGACCGAGCAGGAGCCAGAGACGGAGGCGGAGCCGCAGCCGGAGCAGACGTCCGAGCCGGAGCCACAGACGGAGGCGGAGCCGCAGCCGGAGCAGACAATCACGAGGGAACCGGAGCCGGTCACGCCCACGCAGGACCAGGGCGATTTCTACCGCACCGGCGCGACGCCGACCACGCCAGAGCCGCCGGCGACGCCAACCTCGCCGGAGACGTGGGAGACGCCGCGGGCGACGCCGTCTGTGCCCGTGCAGCAGGGTTATCCTTAGTTGTTACACATGCTCAAATTGGATTTGCAGGCAGAAGACTCCTGTGAAGACCAATAACAACGACACTCCGGTCAACAAGAAGACTCTAGGAACTCTAGGAACCAAGAGAAATATGCTTCATTGGCTTGGGGGATGAATATGCTTACTTGTAATCTGTTCTGGACCATGCGTGTGCGTGTGCGTGTGTGGTAGCTCAAACTGTTACTTGAACTGGTGTTTGGGGTAGCTGTTTGTGTGTGGTAGCTCAAGCTGGAGCTCGAATTTTAAGACTATTTTGGTTCATCTACTATTATGCAAAATATTATAACTTGTAATCTGATGCAAATTATCTGTATTTTCACTAAGGTCATGTCAAAATTTAACACTAACTTTATGCATCTGTTCATCTTCAAACAATGCTTATTATATTCACAGTTTACGTACTTTGCTCCATTCACTTGAACACCACATTCACTGTACATCATAGACAGAGAGAAGAAGTTACACTTTTGCACAGCCACCAGAAGCAGTGCACACATAGAAGCACACAAAAACACAGGTTACATCTAGCTACAACTACAATGTTTCCAATCTCCCTACTATTTACATCACATAAAATCTCAGCATTTCTTTGCTGAATTTCACACATCATCTTGTGTGCATTCTTCAGGTGTCGCCTTCTTCTCCGCTGCCCAGTTACATTGTTACTACTCCAAGAAGCAAACGGTGAGGAGCTCCACCCAGTTACATTTCTCAAGGACATGTTGGTGTTGCGCGAGGTGGTTGCCAGAAGAGCTACGGCGGCGCTGCTGTGGGGAGCCAGCGACGCAAGGAAGAGGCATGGGTGTGAGGCGAGCGGCACTGCCAGCTGCGGGGATGAAGGGGAGGGAGGCGGCGCTAAGCAGCACGGAGATAGCTAGGGCTGCAAGGCAGCGATGGCAGCTGCTGGAGCACGCGACGAGGAGGTTGGGTTTGGGTCAGCTGGGGTAGAGGAGGGGATCGAGAGAACTGGAGGAAGAATAGGTAGCGATGGTGGTGGCTGGGGCTCGGTGTCGGTGGTTCTGAGTATGTTGGGGCCAAGGGCATTTTCGCCCAGAAGAAAAATTCGGGACATATAAAAGACACTTTTTGACTAAAAATGACTTCAGATAGCTGAAGTGGGAGAATTGGAGTGGCATTATTCCGAGTTTAGAATTTGGAGTGGCATTTTCCGGAATCATCAAAATTGGAGTGGCATTTATCCAATTAATCCCATTTATAATAAATATATATGCAAAATTACATCTGCTTGGAGAATAGTTTCGACTGCCTTCTTAACATCAATTTCAGTGACACTGTATGCCTCACTCCAGAAACAATGTGCCATTGTGAACACTTCTACTTGAATTTCATAATTAATCATTTTTCCTCAAAGTGTGCATTGAACACCCCTATATCCTTCTTAATCGATAATTTGCATTTCTGATCTGGTAGTTTGACTATCATTCTTTGGTAATTTACATGTATATTCTAGTAGTAAAATTCCTCTATATGTAGCATTGACACTCTGCTAACCTGTCCGGTCGCGCCTGGATCAGCATTGCACGCACCCCACCAAGACATGACATGGTTGTGCATACCAAGAGAGGTGTGTGACGTGGTTGGACAGGCTAGCTACAGGTTCTCACCGGTGACAAAAGGACGAAGAAGAGCGTAAGGAGTTGAAGCTGGTTATCATGGTGATGGTGTAGATGATAGTATGGAGGCATAGATGCATCCTTGATGTGGTTGAGTACAATTTGTAGCTGGTAAGGAGGAAGAACGAGAAAAGTTGGGTGCAGCTAAAGCCGAACAAGTATTACTGGAGCTACCTCCACCTTGCCTCTAGCCTAAATTAGAGAGGGACCTATTCAGTCATTCGTTGTCTTGATTTTGTGATTGTTCAACAAGTTTACTGCATTATCTTTTTATGGTAAAGGTTTTCCATTTCTTTGTCCTTTGGCACAAGTTGCATTGCACTATAAAATGATTAAACCTTTTATTGTTCATGTGATCAGTGGAATTTTCACAATACCATGCACGATCAAAACCACGGATAGAAATCAATTTTAGTTGACACAATATTTGAAGTTATGGCGAAACTCTAAAACATACAATATACTCCCTCCGTTCCAAAATAGATGACTCAACTTTGTATTATCTTTAGTACGAAGTTGGATCATCTATTTTGAAACCAAGGGAGTAGTTTATAAATTTGTCTGGTTATTATCATTTATATTAGTCAAGACGTGTGTTGCGTGCTTACTAGACGTGTGTTGTGCACGCTCTTTTTACCTTGTTCCTTTGGCAGTTAGGACGTCCATTGCCGTCAATATGGTTTAGGACATCCATTGTAGTGTGATTGGTCGAAAAAATAGCAGTGGCCATCAATCCTTGCCGAAATTAGCATCTCTCTCTCGGTACATAAACACGTACGCGCCAGCATGCAAAAAATTCTAAAAAAGGAGTGAATCCCGCCCACTTTACGTTAATCGACCATGCACGCCGATCAACTAGTACCGGCGGTCGTCGCCGCCGTGGCCGTGGTGTGCCTGCTCATCGCCGGCCGCGCCGACGGCCAATTGGAGTACGTGCCTGCCGCGGCGAGCCAGGTGGTGGAGCCGCTGGCCACGAACCAGCAGCCGTTCCTCCCGCAGCCGGAGGTGATGCCAGTGCCCAACAATCTGCTCGCTAAGCCGGAATACGTCTCGCAGACGGGGTTCTCCCTACCGGAGCCCTCCCTAGCCGGGGCGTTCACCGGCGGCTACTTCCCGCAGCAACCGACGACAGAGCCGCAGCCACAGCCGGAGTCGCAGGCGACCAAGTGGGTGCCGGAGACGCAGACGACCAAGTGGGTGCCGGAGCCGACGTGGCAAAAGCCGGCGACGCCGTCTGTGCCCGCGCAGCCGAGTACCAGCGGCGGATCGTACGCTGGCGGGGGCGCCAACAAGCAGCTGGACGACGACGGGGAGCCGGTGGACGGGCTGAGCCCCAAGGCCATCGAGAACATCCTCAAGGAGCACAACGCATTCCGCGCCAAGGAGCATGTGCCCCCTCTCACGTAAGCTCTCTTGACTTGCAAGCATGCATGCATCTCGCGGCGGCCGCCGGCGCCGGAGACGATCGATGATGACAGCTCGGCGAACTGGATGGATGTGTGGGTGCAGGTGGAACGCGACGGTGGCCCAGTACGCGCAGCACTACGCGGTCGAGCGCAAGGGGGACTGCGCGCTCAAGCACTCGACGGGGCCGTACGGCGAGAACCTCATGTACGGCGAGGGCCGGGCGTGGACGTGGCGCCACACCGTCGACGAGTGGAGCGAGGAGAAGCAGAACTACCACTACGGCACCAACTCCTGCGACGCCGGCAAGCAGTGCGGCCACTACACCGCCGTCGTCTGGAAGCACACCACCGCCGTCGGCTGCGGCCGCGTCACCTGCACCAGCGGCGACACCCTCATGGTCTGCAGCTACTATCCGCCGGGAAACTACGACGGGGAGAAGCCATTCTAATCTAATTCTAACTCATCATCCTCACCATTATTTCTCTCTCTCTCTCTCTCTTAATTAATTAATATTCCATCTGATTAATTAATCGGTTAATTAATTAACTAGTTCATTCCCCGCATCCACACAACAGTACGTAGTACAACTCAAGTAGAATGTAATTTTTTCAGTAATGTTTCTTGCAAGAATTAGCAATCTTCGACCGCGCAGCTGCTGGTAGAAAAAAGTACCAGGTACTGTATTTCGTTTTTCTTTTTTTGCCGGTAGGTATTGTATTTCGTTGCCAAGAACAACTTATGATGTCTACTCTTTACGAAATAATGTGCTTTCATTTTTGAAGTAGAGAGAATACTTCACTCTCCTATGTAAGCAGTTGTCTTTTAGCAATTGAAAGTTGTGTCAGTTAATTTTTTTAAATGGAGGCATGCCCCCGGCCTCTGCATCATGACGATGCATGCAACCATCTCATTAAAAGGTCTCGGAGTACCACAAAAATAAATAAGTATTACAGCTCGCAAGCGGAGCAAAAGAATAAAAGCAAAATTACATACTAAAAGTCGCAATCGGTATGACAATGTCAAGGGCAAGCTCTCTAGACTCTGATCCTGTTATGCAACCGCCATCTGAACTGATTGAATATACCCCACGCTACCATCTCCCACAGGTTGCACCCAGTAACCAAAGGCTCCATGAAGTCCGTAGGAGTGAGTAAGGACCACGTACGGATCCATGCGGACGCTCTGAAGATGACCTGCAAGAAAGTTAAAGTATGTTGTCTGTTAAAAATCATGTCATTCCTGCAATTCCATATAGGCCCACATGAGCGCACATATTCCAATCCGAATACGAGCCGCAGTAATCGTATCAATCCCAGCGAACCACGTTCCAAACAACGATTCAATGTCAACTGAAGGAGTAAATGTTAAAGGCTATATGGATCGTTCTCCAAACCAGCTTGGCGAGTGGGCACTCAATGAATAAGTGTTGTATTTCTTGATCATGATCACAAAAACAACAACACGAATTACTTACCCTATTTCTAGCTAACTTCCAGTGAGTCGAATCAGGTTGGTCGGATAATTGAACATCTATCAATCTCCGGACCAAATGCATCCAGGCAGTCCATCGTTCACCAACGAACGCACGTCTGAACTGAATGTTCAATGGAGTCGTTTGAAATACTGTGCCAACGTAATCCTCCTTACATTGCATGATGTTATATAGGGTGGGGCATTGTAAGGTTAGGGGCGACAATCAAGAATTTTACCCTACAAAAGAACACGTCTTCCGTTCGCATGAGTCCCTTCCAGAATGGTGAGTTAGTTGGTCTCACGTTGACTTGGGCGAGCGTATTCGACTGTAAATACTTATTACGTAAAATATGTGCCCACATACCTTCCGGTTCAGTCTCTAATCTGTATAGCCATTTGCTCATAAGACATTTATTCTTAATTTCCAAGTTCTCAATTCCATGACCTCCCTGAAAAAATCTTGTA